CGCACACACCAAGTGGCATCACTCATCACTTGCCAGGGGGTATCAGAAATCTCTCCCAGGACCTGCTTCTCAGCATGGGTGAGAGGGAGCACCTTCACCACAGGCTCCTTTGTTGGTAGCCCCTGGACAGAGACGTCAGATGTGACCTGGCTAAGTTTGTTCCTGTTTGTACAGGCCAGGGGTCGTGCCCGAGCTGAGAACAGCACTTACTCTGTCTTGGCTAAAGCCAACAGTAAAGAGGTCTCCCGGGAGCAGCTCAATGAGACACTAGAAGAGCTCATGACCCGAGCCATCAAGGAGGTGCAGGCCATGCCTGAGCAGGAGTACCAGCACCAGGTGAGTAGAGGCTAGGTGTACTGCCAGGACCACAGGGGCCCAGCAGCTTCTGGTAGAGATGGAGTGAAACAGAGCTACAAGGGGCATGTATATGTAGTCCATCCCCTGCTCAAGGCAGGCTCATCCCTGTTTAAACCAGCTCAGCAAAGTCTTTGTCTAGTCTGCTCTTCCACATTCCTTCTAAGCAGTTTTTTCCAGTGCAAAACCACCCTCCTGGCTAGATGGTTCTTTCTCAGGTCCAACCTACATGTGCCTTACTGCCATTTCAGCCCACTATTTCCTGTCCTGTCTCACTGGTATTTGTACCTTTTGGGGCAGAAGGGCAGCCCCTAGGTGCTGGCTTGTTTCTTTGGGGCTCCTAGACCCCAGTGCTGCATTATCCTCAGTCTCTAGCAATACTGCTTGGATTCTCCATGGTTTATGTTAACAAGGGATGAAGCATCCCTGCCCCAGCCTTTGGGAATAGCAGCAGCAGTTCCCAGGTGGGAGGGTTAGACCTGTGATTCCCAACCAGGGTGGCATGAGATCCATTTAAGGGTGCCATGGGATGCCACACAATATTATCACTGAAGTGTTCAACCTACATATGATTCTAAAGATAAACCTAGAGATTTCAAATAGGAATCCACAATGTATCAAACATTCTGCTTTGTTGTCATCTCTCTGAGTTTTTAGCAGCAGAAGAATTGCTCTGTTATTTTTCAGTAGTCAAAAATATAGTGAAAGCTGGCATTTTCCTGGGGGTGCCTTGATGCTAAAAAAGGTTGAGAACCTCTGGTTTAGACAGTGCTGGGGAGGGGAAGAGGAACCTGGAAGCTGTACCTGTGGCTTTGTCTCTTGCCACAAGGCTGCATGTGTGTGGCTGTCTCTCTAAGTCTCTTATGGTGCATCTGTCTCTCTCTGGGGCTGTGTAGCTCTCTCTGACTGTCTCTTGTTGTCTGCTTGTGGCTAGGTGAGCCTCAAATCCCTCACTGTCAGCCATGTCTCTACAATTTGGTGTCTGTTGCATCCCAGCTTAACTGCCCTTCCTCCTTCTCCTGCCCTTCCTCCTTCTCCAGATCGGGGAGCTGCAGAAAGCAGCCATCATTAGCCAGATCATGAAGGTGGACCGTGTTCAGAAGCAGCAGCTGCATGACCCAGACACTGTCCGCTTCTACTGCCTCCATTGCAACGAAGCCGTGTGCCATGGCAGTGACTTGCGCGTCGTGGAGAAGATGCACCGTGTCAACATCAACCCATACTTCAAGTGAGGGCCTGGCATGGGAATTGGAGGGAACCAGCGAGCAGAGGCTTCCCTTCAGTCAGAGCTGCAGGCAGTAGCTCCCGTGTTCCCAGGGGGTACCACACATTTCATCCTATGTCACACTGCCCCTGGGCTCCCAGCTCAAGCTGGAAGGGAGGGTGAGTCAGTTCACCAGCCAGTGCTCACCAGGCTGAGGGGGGGCATCTGAGAAAACTTGCCAGTATTGGCATGTTACATACCCTCTTGCCCTTGGCATCCAGCAAACAGCTGCTTCCCTTTCCCTTCCCTGCTCTCTCTCCACTGGGTACCACACGTTCTCAGCTGAGGCTTCAGGTCCTCTCCACCTTGCTAAGCACCAGGAGTTCACTGTTGACCCCGTTAGGCTCGATTTTATGTCTGGCTGCTCTGGGGATAGAATTAGGGTGCTGCTTGGAGGTACATGTGCCTTGAATTGTCCCCTACACTGGCAGGGGCAGTGAGAGGGGGGCTCCTCTTTCTAGGTGACAGCTCCCCTGTGAATCCCATGTGATCACAGCACCCCCACACCCTCATGCCAGCTCCTCACTGCAGCAGCTCTTTGTGCCTTTCCTGCAGGCATTACTACAGGGCATCAAACAACCCGGTGGAGATTCCCCGGACCTTCAAGGACTGGAAGCCAGGGAGCATCATCAGCTGTAGGAAATGTGGCCAGGTGGGTGACCATTTAGAAACCCCAGCAGGTCTGGGCAAGGTGGTTCATGGATTGGTCAGGTTCTTGTCTATAATTAAAGCTAAGGAAGCAATGGGATCCCCTTGTCTGCATAAGACAGGACAGAAGGTCTTACCCAGAGGCTTCTGCGTTGTGAGCGATTACTCTCCTTTCCTGTGAACGTCAGTGACCCCAGAAAAATGGGCTGTTCTAGAAAGACAAGTAGATTTAAGGACCCCAAGCCCTCGTGAATCCATCCCATCCCTTATGGATCAAAGTGCTGCCAGCCCCCAAAATTCAGATATCGTGGTTCTCTGTGCCATTAGGGGGTTGCATCATGTCCCAGCTTTCTCTACACATGATAGAAACAGAATTACTTTTAAGTGATAGGTGGGGTCTTCAATAGTGTATAAGATATGAAATCCCAAGAACTGGAAATGTTAGCAACTGTTCCAGTCATGAATTAGCCTCGCTTAAAGTGGGCAACTCATTTTTCATTTGAATTTGTCTGGTTTCAGCTTCTACCAATTGGATCTGAGGGGTGTGTGTGTACAGGCTTGCAAAATATACATGCTCGCCTCCCTTGAAATAAAGATGGCCACAAATTATGAACTAGGAATCAAACCTAAGGTTTGGAACTTGGATCAGATTCTTCTCCCTTGCCTTGCTGAGGTGGGGCAGGGGGGAGTGACTCTGCTGTCAGCAATAAGCTCTGTCTGTGGCATGTGACATAACCCTCATTGTTTCTGCAGGTGTGGGGCATGGAGATGATTTTCCGGAGCGTAAAGCTGCCTAACCTCTCCATTGAAAACTTTGTGGTGGAGACGCCAGACATGAGGAAAAAATACAAGAAATGGAGCAAGGTCACTTTTGCTATAAAGGACTTTGACTATGTGGAATATTGCCAAAGCCTGGATGACTAATTTCCAAGGGGCTCAGGGGACTGACTGTTCCAGCCTCCACCACCCTCCAGTGGTGATAAGGCAGCCTAGACCAGCCCTTGGGATGGCAGCAGGGAGCATGTCTTCTGGCCTTGGACTGCAGAAACCAGCATTTTGTACCACTGAAGTACCTTAATCCTCCCCTTTCCATCTCTGGCCTACTCTGTCCTCTACAGGCTGAGCACTACCCAGGCAGCTGCCAGAGACAGACTGCTGGAAGGGTAGGGGCTCCTTAAATGTGAGCACTCATGTGCTCTCACCCTCTGTGAGGCTCCAGTCCTGCAGATGACTTTGCGCTGTTGGGCTTCCCTAGCACCCACACAGATATTGCCTCCATTGAAGACCAGGCTTAGCCCAAGACAGTGACATTCCAACATCTGTCACTATCTCCTAGTGAAGATAGCTTTGTGGGAAGAGATTTGTGTTGGCCAGCCAGCAACTCACTGTAAAATGTCACCTACCTTCCACAAGATCTTATCATCCTCAGCTTCCCCACCATACTCATTGCTGAGGAGGGACCCAGTCTTGTGGCCAGAGCACAGCACAGGTACTCAGGACTGCTGGGACCTATGCCCAGTTCACCCACTGGGTCACTGTGACCTCACAGCACTCATTCCCTCTTTGCCTCAGTTTCCCCCCCACATCAAATGAGAAGAACTACCCACTGTGGGTCAAGTAGGAGGTTAAATTTGCTTGCAGAAAGGCTTTCTGTCTCTCTCCCACCATAACCCTCCCCTGGATCTCCCCACACATGGTCCCTGCTCACAGTGACTCTGTGCCATGCACACAAGCAACCTTTTTCTTCTATTCAGCCAGTGACAGTTGCAGCAGCATGGAACCAGCTCACAAAACCGTCATCCCCTCTGCTCTCCACAGCACCAGCCAGCATGGCAGCCTATGCCAAGCCATGGGAGAGAAGCCAAGGTTTGCATAATTTCATACGAATTGTGTTTCCCTTCTGCCTGGGACTTCTTCTCTAGCATCAGCTTCACTGCTGTTAATTGAGAAACAATAAAAATTCTGCTTGAGCTTGGCACAAATGGATGCTGTTAGCTTCATTCATTTCACAAGTGTGATTTATTCTCTCCCAGATTTTGACACAGGGTGGTCCTTCCCACTAGCACACACCTTTCAAGTTTCCCATGCTAAATCTTTGTTGTTTAAGATGCATAAATCTAGCGTTGGGTGAGACTTCCTAGTTTCCATAAAATGCTATTTGGATTGGCCAGCAAGTTTTTGAGGCTGGTTTCTTAGCAGCTCATGAGCACTCCGGGTCTTTTAGGTGCATGGCCTTAGACTTTATATTTGCACAGTTTCTCTGAGATCAAAGGGTGTATGCTGTGACTGTCTCACTATAGCCCTAGTAAAAAGAGAGACTCCGAGAGATCCCAGATCTCCACCCCACCAGCCTACAATGTGCAGTCATGTCCAGCCACATTATAGCACCTGAGAACAGCTGACATAGAAGCCATACAAATGGGTGACATGACCCATCAACAAACTATGGCCATGGAGCGGCCATGGCTTAGACTCTGAGCAGAGCAACCAACCTGACTTACAGCATTGTTTGGAAAACCCACATTATAGAGTTTACTTCATCCACTTCAAAGTTGCAAAGCTGGTGCTCTGCCCCTTCTGGCAGGAGATTAAAGAGCCAGCATGGTCAAGGTTGGAGATGCAGAAAAGCTGGCTTGAAACCCAGTCACAGTGGTAGCCTGTACACATTCAGCAAGCTTCATCGGTGTCATTAGGGCAAAAGAAGACTGCACTCATGGCAGCCTGGAGAGGCCTACAGCAAATTTACAAAGATTTTTATGCACTGAACTTCTTTTTTATTTCACAGGTCAGAAGCCAATGAATTCGGTCTAGACCAGTGATTCTCATTCTTTTTAGATTCAAGGCACTCCATAGAAAATGTCAGCTCTTAGTTTTCACTTGATTCTTAACTACAGCAAAATAATGGAGTGAATCTTCTCTTGCAAAAAAAACTAAGAAAGGCCAGAACAGGTTAGAATGATTTTAACACCATGGATTTCTCTTTGAAATCATTGTGTTTATCTTATGAATTACGTTTGCACTCCTAACAGTGCTAATATTGAGTAATACCCCTGAGAGAATCTCAAGGCATCACCCTGGCTGAGAATCACTGGTCCAGACACAATAGACACTGGTCTAGGTAGCCTCAAGTGCTCTGGCAATAGCTAAGGACTAAGGCAAAGCTCTTGAGACTTAATGAGCATCAGCTTGTGGTTGGTGGCATAGTGCTTCAAAGAAACCTTCTAAACCCATACCATATGCCAGCTATTTATTTTAAGCATCATCGGACAACAAACTGCTGTAAAGAAACCTCCACCCCATTGCAGCCCAGTCTCTCCTGCCTTAAACGGTCCCAAATGGCCATCACCCTGACTATTCCCTTTGTGGTAGAGCCACCATTAACTGCAGCTGTGTGATCAAATAATGCTGGCCCTTTAACTTACCTCCCGGGAATGGCAACCACAGGTGTGCCTTGGATGCGATGATTCCTCCATCTCTGCCCATGGTGCCTCCCATGTATGCCATACTCCAAACAAGCCTATAGCAGTAGCTTGCTTGTGCCTTAGTGAGGTGGGTTGATTTGCAGCAAAGTTAGGATTTGTGGTAGTGTCTCTGGTTAGCAAGATTTTGTCTTGTTACAATGGGCACAGCAACAGAGTAAGGGTTTGAGGCTACCACGTCTGCAGAACCAGTGGCTTTAGCAGGAGCACCTGTGCCTCTTGTGGGACTCACTGGAACTGAAATGGGTGCAGCCCTTGCTTAGCCCAGTGCTTCTGGGTACCTTGCTGCCCCTGAGTGTCTGAGCTGTATCTGCATTTCCCTTCAGGTCTGTAATGTGCTAAGGGGGGATGCAAAACTCTGTATTGATGCAGCGATCTTTAGGGGAAGGTAGTGTGCTGAGTCTGCCTGTGGGAGGGAATCTTTGTAGCCCTGTAGACAGTGTTACAAACCTCTGCTGTGGATTCATTTTAATGGCCTACAGCAGGGCTTGTATGGGCAGCAACACCAAGGAAAGTGGCACCAGCTCGGCCTCTCTATGGAGGGACTATATACTGATGCAAATGTCCCCTCTGTGTCTGATTTTTTTTTTTTTTTTTTTTTTTTTGGCAGTCTGGCTCTGCAGTTCTGTGCTGTATCACTAGAGGGAGGTCCCTGCCAGCAATCGGCTCCTCTACCCAGTTTGTTAACCCATGTGTGGGCTCCCTCCCAGAGGCTGTGGCTGGGGAGCAGTGCTGAGCTTGCTTGGTAACACATGGTACTCCTGTCCTGTTAGAAAAGGATGGGGACGTCTAACCTGATCCTGTTACAGCCTAAAACCTGCCCCAAGTCTGGGACCTGCTTTCAGATGAAAACAGCAAACTCTGAATGAACAGAGGCCTCCTTGTGACACCTAGTGTGCTCCCTCCCTGTCTCAGAGCTGCCTTCGGTCCAGCCTGCTCCTCATGGAGAAGACTGGCTCCAGTTAAATGAATGTCTACTGTGTAAATGTCCTCTTGGGACTGCTCCACCCTCCCTCAGGCTCTGGGCCATGCAGCCCTGCCTTGTTCCGCCTGTACTGTGGTCAGACTTGGGCCAAGGCCCTTGGCTCTTGGCAACAGAAGACAGCCCTGCCTGGCTTTCCAGGATGTGGCAGCTCTTACAAGACCGCCCTGTGGCTTGCAGCTGGCATTGGCTAGTGAAAAGGTCTTGACTTCAGCTGTAGACTTTCTCCAAGTCAGCCGAGATGGCTATGGGGTACCACAGCATCAGAGCCAGTGCAGCAGGGATCAAACCACAGCCCTCTGTTGTTAAAAGCTCCAGTCTCTGCACAAAGCCAAGTCTGGGCTTGTTACAGGTGCCTGTGTGACTTGGGGGAAGGGGGCGTTAAAAGCCCCAGTCTGCACAGTGAGCTGAGTCTTGGCCTGTCACAGAACCATCACCAGTGTAGATGCGTCCTCTGAGAGTTGTGTTTAGCAGGTAGAACTTGGTGGGGGGGGTTAGGGTTAGGGGATGTAACCCCTGTCCTGGTCCAGGAGCTTATTTTACACATGCATTCTGAGGTGAAGGGCATTTGCTATCCTTCTGTTTGCTCCAATTGGTGGAAAACAGCATGAAAAGTTTCCCAGCACTGGGAGCCCAGGCTGAGGCATTGCCAGGGGAGGAGGAAGCATTGCAGTGGGAGGCAAGAATTAGAAGCCTCTTCCAGTTGACACCTGGCTTCTTCTCTTTAGCTTTCGCTGTCCATGCCCCATGGCAGGCTTCCACTTCTCTCGCCCCTCTACCTGCCCTGGCTTCTCCCCATCTGGGGGCTCTGTCCTTCACTGCATCTCTAGTGGGTTTCTCTCATATACCCTGGACTCTGTCTGTATGACTCTTGGCTCCTGTACAATGCAAGTGAGAGCCATGGTCTCTCTAGCCATTCTTCCCCTAGTATAAAGCAGGGCACCTTAATGGAGGGACCCAGCAAGGCCTGGTAAATGCAGCACTAGGCAAATGCTCATTGCTCCAGTGGATTAAAGGGGTGAGTCAGCTGCCTCCCGACAGCCTCACTCGGAGTCAAATGGTTCCAAGAACGCCCTGGTGCTCACACCAGCTGCCTCTCGGCTCATTCCTTGTGTAGCCCGGCTAGCAGCAAGAAGGGCCAGATCCACATTTTGGGGTACTGAATGAAGTATACCAGGGCCTCAAGCCCCCACCCAGAAATCTGGGAACACTAAATTTGACTGGGGTATTCCACGCAGTAAAAATCCCCATTCTCGCAAGCAGTATAAACCAAACAAATACAAATTTATTATAAAAACAAAACAAAACCTTAAACACAATATAAACATTGTCTCTACAACTACAGTTCCTAGGTTGAACCTCTTTAGAGAGACTTCACCCCAGCCCAGGCCAGTCTGGGACCTGGGGCTCCCCAAAGGGTTAGTTCCAGGGTCCACACCAGAGCTATCCTACGATTGGGGTTTATCTGCTTGTGGTCGGTGGTTTGGTTGTGGTGCACGGGGCCCCTTGTCGCTCCTGGAGAAGTGGTAGAGCCCAATTTTTGCTCCCACAGAGAGGATGTTGGGGTGGGGGTGGCTGCACCTCTGGCCAGCATACCACTCCCACCCCAAAATTTCTGGGCTGGATTACATGGCCTGCTGAGACAGAAACCGCATGGCAAACTCAAAAGGGAGCCAAGTTGATTACTGGCTACAGCTGGCCCAATGACACAGTTTGGCTGGAGCCAAGGACTGTCAAAAGAAGCGAAGTGGGGAAAGTCAAGCCTACTCTCTAGGCCTGGGCTGTAGGTAGTCTGGGTCACAGCTCCACTAGGAGCAGAAGGTTACAAACTTTAACCCCCTCCCAAAGCTGGCAGAATTAGAAACTCCCAGGTTTCAAACTTGTTTAAAAACTGCCAGACTTAATTCCTGGCCAGCCAAACCAAAGAATCAATGCTCTCCTCCCCGGTATTAGTCCCGTCCAACCTCAGGAAAGGGGGAAGAAAAGGAGAAGAGAGGACTTCCAAACACTGGGACAATTCTCTCTCCTTCTCTCTCTCTCTCCCCTACCTGAGTTCCCCCTTTGTCTAACTGCAGATTTCTTCTCCTCTTGGAGGGGACTTCGCTCTTCAGCAATCCCTGGCAGCATCTCCCCCTTCCCCAAATCAACCTAGCTGACCTTATATCCCTTAACATGACATCTGACTTCTCCTTTTCTGTAGCCTTGTGCAGTCAGGGAGTGTCACACTCCAGTCTCTCTCTCAACCAATCTGCCAAAAAAGTCTTTGCTTCCCCAGGCCAATCAGGTCAAATGATTTTACCTGAATAGAAGGCCCCAGCTTTCCATGTGCTGTGCACATGGCCCGAATAACAGGGGCCATCTTCCCCACATGGCCAAAATGCATGTTTTCTCCTCAGCAACAGGCCAGAGGAGAAAAAGAAAGAGAAAATCAAAAGATGAATACAGAAAAAACATAGTACGTGGCAACCAAAGGCACACACTCTGCCATACACAGTACAAGTGTGTGTGGGTG